CAAGTCGTCTTGAACTGTTGGTTTTGATCTGCTTGGGAGTCTTTATGCGCTTGCTCGGTTTTCTTGCGCTTTTCTTTCAGCCCGTTCTTTTCATTGTTCTTGTGACTTACTGTTATCGAGGGGCCTTTGAACACTTTGTTAATTCGGTCCATAATGGACGTCCAGTGGGTCTCATTCAGGCCAGACCCTCAAATTCCCACTGTGCTGCTTCAGCAGAGGCGGGGGGAGCCGCGTCTCAGAGGTCTGTGAAGTACACCCGGCCCTGCAATGCCGCATCCAGCCAGCCATGGCCCCACGTGGCCACCGTGAATCTTGCACAAAAAAGAACTTTTCTGAGCGACGCGGGTACTGCCACGAGCAATCAGAAAGATGAGAAGCTTCCGAACAAATGGTTTTAAATCCCTATGGCAGAATAGATCCAGAGAAAACGTCTCTCACTTGCCCATGCTAGCTGTTAGTTCTAACTGCCGCATAGGAAGACTAGTTTGGAGACAACTTTTGCTTGCCGCGTGCGACCTTCCTGGTGGCAAACTACAAGGGCCCTTGGACGCCAAATGCACTTTTTGGCCTGAGAGTCAAGAGAGTCGTGGCTAATCACCAGTGAAGAACATCGAAGGCTTCATGTGTGCTTCAGCAGTCACATGAAACCATCAGGCAGAATGCCAAAGCAGTATGATTGCTCCTTTTTTTTTCCTTTCATTTTTGAAGTCACTTCTTGAACATATGAAAAGTTCTGTTGGGAATTCATTGGCAAGGTTGCCACCCAGTGCCTTTATTCATCCATGTATCCATTTATTCATCCATGCGTGGCGAGGAGATTTTCTTGAGCATCTTCTTCCCTTCATCTTCTTTTCTTTGTGATTCTTTGCAGTTGGGTACAACCAGAGTCGCAGAAGTATTCTAGGTCCTGTATGGTCAAGCAGAGCTTGGATCTAGATCATAAAACTCTGAAGGGCCACTTAGGATGTAAGAAATCTTATTTAGGGCCGCCGGAGCAATAGTCCAGCAGGGAGGATGTTTTCCTTGCGCGAGCCGACCCTGGTTTGATCCCGGCATGCCATGTGGTCCGAGCACCTCCAGGAGTGATTCCTGAGTGCAGAGCCAGGAGTAACCCCTGAGCATCGCTGGGTGTGACTCCCAAACCAAGCAAAAGTCATATTTGTGATCCTTATTGAATTTGAGAGTCATTTTCCCTTGGGGACAATGTAATTGGTGACTAGGTTCCTCTGCCCGTTCCCCCCAGCACCTGTGTAACTCCAGGCCTTAGATGTGTTTCACGCATCACTGCTCTTGTGGGGAAAAGGAATAGAAGCCAGCACATAGCAGCAAGAGAGAGACAAGGCGAAGAGGGACAACACGCTGACCCCCTCCCCACACCCACAGGAAAATTGCCCCCACACACACTCGATTGTATCCTGCCAGAAGGCCAATGAACCTGTTTAAAATTTTAGAATTCCTGGTGCACGGCCACATTTGCCACTTGATATACCAAGAGTAGCACACCACATTTGATGAGGTGTAAAGTAGAAGGCAACCGATCTCTATCAAAAAAAGAAAAAATGGGGAGGGGGGGCTGGAGCGATAACACAGTGGGTAGGGCGTTTGCCTTGAGCGTGGCCCACCCAGGTTTGATTCCCAGCATCCCATATGGTCCCCTGAGCACCGCCAGGAGTAATTCCTGAGTGCAGAGCCAGTGAGTAACCCCTGAGCCTTGCTGGGTGTGACCCAAAAAGCAAAAAAAAAAAATTAAAAATTAAAAAATATATATATATCGCACACAAGCCTCACCATGTAATGACCTGTTAGTAATCTCTTATATAAGGGCTTACTGGGTCGGGGTGAGATACAACAATCTTCACACATTTCCTCTAAGGAAACTTTTTGGGATCATTTATGGTGGAATATTTATAACCAACCTGAGTTCAGTTCCTCCACCCCTCTCGGAGAGCCCGGCAAGCTCCCAAGAGTATCCCACCAGCACGGCAAAGCCTGGCAAGCTCCCCGTGGCGTATTCATATGCCAAACACAGTAACAACAAGTCTTAAGATGGAGATGTTACTAGGCCCGCTTGAGTAAATCGATGAGCAACGGGAGGACAGTGCTACAGTGCTATTTATAACAATAAATTTTTAAAAATTATTTAGGGCCTGCTTTTGGGGCAGGCTTGGATGGTGGTGGGAAACTTTGAAATAATGGTGGTGGGAAGGTAGGTGTAAAATGGTGGGCTTGGTGTTGGAATATTGAATGTAATAAGTTATTGTGAGCAGCTTTATAAAACTAAAATACAATTCATAAAACTAAATAAAATTTAAAAAACTGGGGCCGGAGCGATAGCACAGCAGGTAGGGCATTTGCCTTGCATGCAGCCGATCTGGGTTCGATCCCTGGCATCCCATATGGTCCCCCAAGCACCGCCAGGAGTAATTCCTGAGTGCAGAGCCAGGAGTGACCCCTGAGCATTGCTGGGTGTGACCCAAAAAGCAAAAAAAGAAAATAAAAATTAAAAAACAGAAGGCCATTGCAGACCCTTTGTGACTCCTCCAGCAGACCAAGTAAGGTCTAGACTGGTCTTTCCTACCCACATACCCATCCTCATTCCTAACGTCAAGGCACTTTCCGTTCCTCCAAGTGAGTTATCCTCAAAGGCACATGCCTAAGGTTAAGTAAGATCTTCTGTGGGCCTGGACAGAGATCCCAGCACCCCATAGGGTCTCCCAATCCCCGCCAGGTGTGATCCCCAAACACAGAGCCCGGAGTAAGCGTAAACCCTGAGCACTGCTGGGTGTGTCCCCCAGAACAAACAAAAAAACCCTATGTATACAAATAAACTGTACGCATATAGTATATAAAACTATAATGAGATTATTACCTTTATAATATTGCGAGTATGATGATCACATTACCATTCTACTATATTACTATTATATCATTATACTATTACGATTATCATATTGCCATTGGGCTGGAGCGATAGCACAGCAGGTAGGGCGTTTGCCTTGCAAGCAGCCAACATGTCCGACCCAAGTTCAATTCCTCCGCCCCTCTCGGAGAGCCCGGCAAGCTACCAAGAGTTATCGGCCTACACGGCAAAGCCTGGCAAGCTACCCATGACATATTCAGTATGCCAAACAGAGTAACAGTTGTCACAGTGGAGATGTTACTGGGCTGGCTTGAGCAAATCGATTAACAACGGGAGGACAGTGACAGTGATATTGCCATTATATTATAATAGTATTATAATACTGACTACATATAGTTCATTCGTTTGGGGGGCCACACCCAGCGGTACTCGGGGCTTCCTCAGGGACCAGTGGTGGTGCTGGGGATTGAACCAGGTTCAGCCACATTGAAGACAAGCACCTCAACTCCCTGTATTGCCTCTCCAGCCCCTTCTGTTGATTTTTACTGAGGCGGATTTGCAGAGCAGGTAAGTAGCATATGGGAAAAAATTCTTTCTAACTCACAGAGCAAGGGAACAGATCCCAAGAAGAATAACTTCTGTTTACCTGTCCAATGGACTTGGACACCGAAATATTGTCTTTTCTTTCTCCGTGTGCCCTCCCTAACCTGGCGTGCTCTGGACTCAAACGGGAGCTTTTTTTAGCGGTCCCGGAAAAAGCCTCTGCTTGAAAACACCCTGGCGTGTGATGGACTGTGTGGTCACTGGCTTGGCCCGGGTGGGCAACTTCCTTCCCGTCCCCCGCATAAATTTGAGGTTAAGTCCATGCCTCTGCAGAGACCGGTGATTTAAAGGGGACCTGCCGGGTGTCATCCTCTGGAAATTGGCACTCTTGCGTTATTTTTAGACTCGGGATAAGTAATTACCATGTGGCAGTTGATGCAGATATACTCCAAGGAGCCACAGAGTTTTAGAGACACTGTGTATTTAATATTTTAAAAAGAAGAAGAAAGGACCAGAGAGATAGTACAGTGAGGAGGGCACTGGTCTTGCATGCAGCTGACCCAGGTTCCATCCCTGGCACCACATAGGGTCCCCTGAGTATTATCGGGGTGGTCCAAAAACAAACCCCCCCAAAGACCTGGGGCCGGAGAGAGAGCACCGCTGGTAGAGTGCTTGCCTTGCACACAGTTGACTCGGGTTCAATGCCCAGCATCCGATAGGGTCCCCCAAGCACCATCAGGAGTAGTTCCTGAGTTCAGAGCCAAGAGTAAGCTCTGAGCACTGCTGAGTATGCCCCAAAATCAAACAAGCAGAAAATATTGTCCAGGTCTGAACAATATTTACAAATTTATCTTCTGATAGTTGCATTTTGCTTATTATTGGTTATGGTTTGGGGGGGCCACACCCAGCGGTGCTCGGGATCCATTCCTGGTTCTGTGGTCAGGAGTCACCCCTCAGCGTGTTTGGGGATCATCAGTGATGCTCAGCTTCAAACAAGGCACGTGGGGTGCATGGCTAGAGCCTTAACCCTTCACTCTAGTGAAAACTTCCCCAAAGGTAATCTCTTTTTTTTTGGACTGAGAGTTTTCATTTTTAACTGAGTTCATATGATAACTGAGTTTCAACCTTGCCGAACTAGTCTCCGTCGTCTCCATCTCTGTCTACTTAGATGAAAGTTAACTCAGAAAACCCAGGGACCTGGAAGGGATGGGAACCATCTTTTCTCTCACTCTCGAAACCAACTTCTGCTTCCCCCAGAAGCAGAATCTGGGGCGGAGTGCTCGGACAGCAGGGAGGGCATTCACCTTGCTCATGCCTACCTGGGTAGAATCCTCGGCATCCCATAGGGTCCCCATGAGCCTGCCGGCAGTGAGCCCTGAGCACTGCCTTTGTCCAGGCCCACACACTTCCTTTGTGCTGGAACATTCTGGCAGGCTCTCACATAGACACCTGACAGTGCGTCACTGCCCACTGGCTGGACCTGGCTGCCGTGCGCCTTTCCGGGACTGTCCCCTGCGCTGCCTCGGGCTTGCGCGTGCGTGCCTCGCGGAGTCCTGGGCTCAGGATGCGACTTTTCTCGTTCTGGTTTTGGTCGTAGAGGTTGGTGAGCTGAAGGAGCTGCAGACGCTCGACCTTTCTGCCAACCGTTTGCTAGCTTTGCCCGAACGGCTCCACCTCTGCCTCTCTCTGCAGTGCCTCACTGCCGACCGCAACCGGCTCCGGTGCGTGCCTCGCCGGCTCTGCCAGCTGCCCAGCCTCAGCGAGCTCTCCATGGCGGGAAACCGCCTCGCCTTCCTGCCGCTCGGTAAGTGCCCGTGACGGTTCGGGGGGGCAGGGCAGGCGCCAAGGAAGGGTGCCCATCCCTCCGTTTCTGCTCCTTGACACCATAACCATCACAGATGCCGGGTGGGCTATTGGCTGGAAGGAGTGCTCTCCTGACTTGTTTGGCATGTTGATGAATCCGGGTCTTCCTTTCTGTTCAGGGACATGCCCAGTGGTTCTCTAAGCTCAGTGCTCCAGGGTCACACCCAGCTGTGCTCGGGGGCCATGTGGTGCCAGGGATCAGACCGGGCCTCGTGTGTGCAATACATGAGCTCCCACCTCTAAGCTGTCTCTCCAGTCCCCGTGGGATTCCTTTTTTTTTTTTTTTTTTTAAAAACACATCTATGGCAAAAGTGTGTTCACAGAAAAAACATACTCCGGAGAGATGATTCACTTCGAGGCAAGTACAAATATAATATGTAGCCTGTGCATAATATACAAAAAGACATGAATACAATCGCTAATACGGGAAGAGGGCATTGAGCAATAGGAAGGGACCAGCACTGTTAGATAGATGCAGAGATGTTCACTCCTGCCCGCCGGGGATGCTGAGATGTTGATTTCCGCCTGGGGATGCTGAGGTGCTGACTTCTGGCTGGGAAGCAGAGCATGAGGCTTTGGGGTAAAACCCCAGGACTCCAAAAAAGGGAGAAAGAGAAGAATGCACATTGACCTGTGTGTGCAAAAAATCGTGCCCAGTACTCTGATGATCGGTATTGTAGATCCCCAGCTTCAGGGTTCCAGGGCTTTAAAGCAGACCGAATTGCTGCCCACGGAGCGTGTCTTCCCACTACTAACCAGCACAGGGCCACGGTTGGTCTCTGCAGCGCATCTGCCGTGGCATCTTTATCCTAAAGGACTGTACTGACATCTTCTGTTTCTTTTCACTGGGAATTAATTTGGGGGATAATGAGTGCAATTGAAAATGAAAATAGGAAACTGCTGTGTCTCAGCTGTCCTGGTCAGCCCCGAGGACTTGGGGAAAGAATTTTCTAGAGTGGATGATTTATTTCTGAGGGCAGGAATGTGAATAATTTACTAGTCCCCAAGAGGAACTACTTACCAACATAATACAGGGACAGACATTATTCGCCATTAAAATGTCTTCGAGGACAGTTTAGAATACCAAGAGACAAGGGGACCAATTTGAATAATAATGAATAATTGTCCCACTTAAGAGGATGCCTTTCCTACAAATAGAATTAAATTCTGTACTTAGAAAATTAACAAAATAAAACCAGTTCCTCTGCATGCTATGAGTTTGAGAAGTCTGACAGTCTTTCAAGAGTGAAAAAGGGGACTATTAGTAACTTTCATTTTATTTTAAAAGGAGAGCCATACCTGGCAGTGCTCAGGGCTAACTCCTGGCTCTGCACTCAGGAATCACTTCTGGTATTGCTCAGGGGATCCTATGGGATGCCAGGGATTGGCCACGCGCAAGGCAAGTGCTCGCCCCACTGTGCTAGTATTCCAACCCCCAATAATAGCAGGTTTTATAAAGAAACATTTCTACTGCAGGACCCATGGGGTCTAGGAAAATGAGAGTGGACACGGGTGGGATCACAGAGCCTAGCGAGTGTCTGACCCACAACAGATCACTACAGCCCCTCCGAGTTATGAGCCACGGATGCCTACATGCCCTCCGGTTTTTCTCTTCTTTCTTTTTCTTTGTATTTGGTGGAGTGCCCTCCCACACAGTGCTCAGGACACCCCGAGTTCCGGGAAGTCCATACACTTCAGTTGCTGATGATTTGTTGCATGCCCAGAACCATTGTAGGTCGTGATTCCCAGTAGACTCTAACTGCATGGAGCCAATGGGATCAGAAACAGCATGGTGCCAGAGGGGCCGGTTCAGTTCAAGCCTGTGCTCTCATTCCTGCCGGTTTTTTTTTTTTTTTTTTTTTGCTCTTTGGGTCACACCCAGTGATGCTCAAGGGTTACTCCTGGCTCTGGACTCAGGAATTACTCCTGGCGGTGCTTGGGAGACTATATGGGATGCCGGGGATTGAACCCGGTTCTGCCACGTGCAAGGCAAACACCCTACCCACTGTAATATCACTCCGGCCCTACTCCTGCCAACTTTTATGTAGGTTTGCTTGGTGGAAAGACCCAGGTTCGATCCCTGGCACCCCGTAAGGTCCCCTGAGCCTGTTAGGGGTGACTGCTGAGCACAGAGACCTGGGCAGTACCAGATACGCCTCAGAGCAAAAACAAAACCAGAAAAAAAGAGGTCCCAGTGGGATTCAGAGCCTATGGTAATATCCAAACCAAAGTGCTGTTTAAAAATTTGCTAGGTAGGGCTGGAGTGATGTACAGTGGGTAGGGCATTTGCCTTGCACACGGCTGACTCAGGTTCAATTCCCAGCATCCCATATGGTCCCCTGGGCACCGCCAGGGGTGGTTCCTGAGTGCAGAGCCAGAAGTGACCCCTGAGCATCGCTGGGTGCGACCCAAAAAGCAAAAAATAAAAATGAAATAAATAAATAAAAATTGGCTTGGGGATTAAAGCGATAGGACAGTGGGGAAGGCGCTCAAAAAATTCTAAAAGGGAACTCTGAGACCTGCAAGGGTGTGGATTTGGTCAATACAGATTGGATTTTTGTTTGTTTGTTTTTCATTCTTTGGAATATTCCTGAGTTTTCTCTGCCTGTATCTACAGATGTCAACAACTTGAGCCAGCATCTCTCAGGATGCTACACAGAGCATGTGGGAAGTGCTCCCTGCTTCCTGGGAAATGCAGATTAAGACCACAGTGGAGGGACAGGGAGATAGGACAGCCAGTGAGGCACATGATTTGCATGCAGCCAACGCCAGTTTGATCCTCCATGCCACGGAGGGTCCCCTGAGCACCACCAGATGTGAGCCTTGAGCATAGAGCCAGGAGTCATCCATGAGCACTGCCAGGTGTTTCTCGGATAGCAGAAACAAACCATGCCCATCTGTGGAGATAGGTCATTCTAGAAGCAGTGAGTACAACCTGGGCCAGAGAGGTGGCGGACACAAGGGACCTCACCCGTGATTGGTGGAAATGAATACGGAGGTGCAGCCATGATGGGAATATGCTTCTGAGCATCCTTGGGAAGCTAAAGACGGAGCTGGTGTGTGATCCAGCAGCTCCAGCCTCGTCAGGGCACCAACCCAGCATCAGAACCGTGACCACAGTAAGGTGAATCAGCCCCAGGGTTTCTTGTAGTTAAACTAGGGCACCGACTGACACGTCTCTTGGTGCAGTAGATAACTGAGAAGCATCAATACAGTAGGATTTGAGGCAGCTATTTACAGAAGATGCAGTTTACAAGAGAGTAGGAGCTTGTAGGGGAATCATGGGACGCAAAAGAAGTCAGAAGGAGAGAGACAAAGATTGGGTGATTGGGTGGTTGATGACTAAGGGTGGAAAGTTGGTGACAAAACAGAACAAAAAGATCAACCGTTGATAACAGAACCCAGGTTACCAAAGAAGAGAGGGGTGAACAAAGTATAAAAATACTTCACTTAAAAACTTAAATGCATGAAGGACCAACGAGATTGTACAGTGGGCAGGACGCTTGCCTTGCGACATTCCTGGGTTCAATCCCCAGCACCACACGTGCTCCCCTAAGCCAGCCCTGCCAGGAGTGATCCCTGAGCACTGGTCGCTAAGGAGGTTCAGTCCTTTTTCCATGATCAACAGCTGATATCATCCCAGAGGTGTTGAAATCTCCGACCAGGAGCTGATGAGATCATGGGGCGGGTAAGGCATTTGCCAGGCACGTGACCTGGTTCCACTCCCTGGCGTCATAGATGGCTTGAAAAGATGACTTGGAATATTGAATGCCTGTACAAATTATCATGAACAACTTTGTAAACCACAGTGTTCATATAAAGTGTAAGGGGAGGGGCCGGAGCGATAGCACAGTGGGTAGGGCATTTGCCTTGCACATGGCCGACCTGGGTTTGATCCCCGGCATCCCATATGGTCCCCCAAGCACCGCCAGGAGTAATTCTTGAGTGCAGAGCCAGGAGTAACCCTTGAGCATCGCTGAGTGTGACCCAAAAAGCAAAAAAAAAAAAAAAGTGTAGGGGAAATTTGGGAAAAGTAAACATAAAAAATATAACTGGCGAGGGGGGGGGGACCACAAAAGTAACCAAAGTGAAACAACAATGAAAATTTGTTTATATTGTAACAATATATTTTGTATTTTATATATAAGTTATAACATAACTTTTTTTAACTAAAGAAGTCTCCAGTTCGGGGCCAGAGAGATGGGGCTGGTGGTAGGAAAGGGCAGGATGGTCGGAGGAGGAGGTGGTGGGACGGGGCTTTGTAGGGAGGAAGGAGACCCGGGTTGGATCCCCCGGGGACCGGAAACAAACGAGGGTCAGAGAGATGCAGCCCCGAGTTGCACACCTCAGACCCGAGTTCTACCCTGAGCACTGCCAGATGTGCCCCCGCCACTCCCCCAGATGCAGCTGCTGATTCCCGTCCAGAACCCCCATCTTCTGTTGCTCTCATGTCCCACCTGAAGGCCTGCGTCCCGCGCGAGCCCCTGGCCTCTGACTGCCAACGTCATGGCCACTTTCTTTCTTCTCCAGATCTCGGTCGCTCTCGGGAACTACAGTATGTGTTCGTGGATAACAACGCCCACCTGCAAGGCCTGCCCTCCTACCTGTACAACAAGGTCGTCGGGTGCAGCGGGTAAGACCCCCCGCCCGGCTCAGCCCTAGGTCTCTCAGAATCCCCTGCATGTCTTGAGCTCATTTAGTTGTCAAGTGTCTTCATAGATGCAGCCCAGTGGTAGCCAGGAGGCCCCTGGGCCCACAAATGCTTTGAGTACACCCAGGCTGGCCGTGAGTTTCCCTTCTTCTTCACTCAAAAGGAAACAGCACTAGGAACTCGGCCCAGCCAGGTCCTAGATGCTCCTGGGCTTGGCATGAATGGAAAAGCTTTTCTTTCTCTGCCCCGCCACCTCAGCCCCGCCGGGCACTGGCCCTTTGGTTGTAGCAACAGCCCTTGTCACCAGGCCAGCTGGATCCGTTCACAATGCAACAGTTGGAAAGAGTCCCTGGGTCCCAGCCGAGCCTGATTCGAGCAAATCTGATGTTTACCTTCATGGACGTGGTGGGCATTTCCCGGCAGAGCCGCCCTGATTTTCTGCTCAGTCGGGGTTCCTGAGACCCCACCTCAGCCTCTGCAAGCAGCGGACCGTGACGCCCACAGTGAAAGGCTGGCCGCCAGGCTTCTCCCCCTGAGTCTGATCTTAGCAGCTACTTGGAATCCAGCGGTGGTGCCAGGACATGCCACTCATGCCCTGGCGCCCTCAGCATCCTCAGACCCAGGCTCCTGAGCTGCGTTTCCCAGCAAGACGGGACGACAAGTCAGCTTGTCCAGGGGGGCCAGCGTGGCCCAGAGCATCTGGGTGCCTTCCCCACAGCACCAGCAGGATGCAGGAACCGGGTCCCTCCCTGAGGAGGAATTAGAGAGTTATCCTGGGAAGCCCCGGGCAAACGAGTGTCTCTGCAGGCTGATGAAACCTCACCCTGGAGCGGGGGCCCAGAGCCCTCCTCATAGACATGGCGGGCGGGCTGCTGTTTGCAGTTCCCCTAGTGCTTTCTGACTCGGCTGAAGGAGTGATGAGACAGATGTGCTCATTAGTTCTTGGAGACTCGCACAGATGCTCCTGCTTGCCTGGAGCAGGGCCGAGCCCTCAGCCACCAGGAGACGGGGTGATGCAAGCTGGCAGCCCCGAAGGGAGTGTGCCCAGTGGTCCTTCCCAGGGCTCCCTGCCACCTGCTGCAGGAGGGTGTTTGATGCCTGGAAGTCGCTGTCCTTGTTTCTGGTGTGGCTCTGGTTGGCCACAAAGGCCACACTGTATATAGTATACACAGTAACATACAGTATGCACAGTGTATACACTATGTACAGTAAGTACTGTAATATAGAGGTAATATACAGTAATATATGGTAATATACAGTATATACAGTAATATATGGTAATGAGCAAACAAGTTCCCTTACGTGTGTGTGTGTGTGTGTGTGTGTGTGTGTGTGTGTGTGTTTGGGTGGGCGAGAGGGAGAGGGTTCTGATAAAACATTCCGGATCCAAATGAGCAAATACTTGAACCAGCTTAATTGCTGTTAAAAGGTACTAATATTGGCGCTAGATTCCAATTCATGTTTTTTTTAAGGGTTCAAGTGCACAATTTTATTTTGGGGGTGGGGGGCTACACAGCCATGCTCAGGACGTACTCCTAGTTCTGTACTCAGGGATCATTGCTGCCTGTATTCGGGGAACCCTGTGGGATGCTGGGCATCAAACCCGGGTCAGCCACGTGCTCGGCAAGTGCCCTTTCCACTTTCCTATTGCTCTGGCCCCCAAATGTACAATCTTTTGTAATTGCTTTGGCATTTAATCTCAAACGGTTCCCATAAGATCTGTTACATTCAGAGAGTTTAAGGTAAGACTTCTGGCAGTGATTCTCATTACATTGTGAACTGGAGCATATCAGGATTTCATCCTCCTACAGACAATATATTCCTAATTCTTCTTTTTATTTATTTGGTGCCATACCAGTGGTACTCAGGGCTGACTCAAGGATCACTCCTGGACAGCTTAGGAGACCCTATGGGATGCTGGGAATCAAACCCTGGTTCAGCTGCATACAAGGCAGACACCCTCCCTGCTGTCCTATTGCTCCAGTCCCCCATAATTCTAATAGAGACCACTGCCCTGGGTTTCCAGGACACAGGCCTCTCCCCACTTCTTTGTCCTGTGAGTCTAGCACTGGTGTGGGGCGGGTGGTTTAAGCCCCAGTAGCACTGTAGCACTGTCCTCCCATTGTTCATCAATTTGCTTGAGTGGGCACCAGTAACATCTCCATTGTGAGACTTACTGTTTTTGGCATATCAAATACACCACGGGGAGCTTGCCAGGCTCTGCTGTGCGGTTGGGATACTCTTGGTAGCTTGCCGGGCTCTCCAAGAGGGGCGGAGGAATTGAACCCGGGTGGGCCGCGTGCAAGGCAAACGCCCTGCCCAGTGTGCTATCGCTCTAGCCCTAAGCCCCATTTTTTTAAAATGTAGGAGTACTGCTATTTATTTAGCCATTGATTAAGCTGATTGAATTGAGCATGCATTCCACATTACTTTTTTTAAAAAAAATTGAATATCCGTGAGATCGTTATAAAGCTGTTCATAATTGGGTTTCAGTTATACAATGATCCAGCACCCATCCCTCCAACAGTGTACATTTTCCACCACCAATGTCCCCTGTTTCCCTCCATCCACCCCCCAACACCCTACCCCTCACCCCCAGACTCCCTCTATAAAAGGCACTTTTCTTCTTGCTCTCTGTCTCTTTTTCTTTTTGTGCATTGTGGTTTGCAATACAAGTGCTAAGAGGTCATGGTATTTGTTCAGGGTATTTGGTATTTTTATCAGGACAGGAAGGCTGGAGTAGCTTTTCAGTTGGGTGGCAGCTTTGAGGTGTGGATATGATTGCTGAGGCTTCCAGAAGTACAGGGAGTTGGGGGGAGGGAGCCCACCCTGACCCCGAGAAAGCCTGGAGATTTCAGTCACAAAACCGGCACTAGAATTTTCGGCAGATTTTATCTTGGTGAGGTCTATCCTGAGATGGTGGAGTCAGGCCAGGGGTATGGTGGCAAGTTTGGATTGTGGAAACAAGAGGCTGCTTGGGACTCTGCTTGGGCAGACTTCAGTCTGACCCAGCCCTGCCTCTGATCTACTGTGCAACCTGTTCAGCCATGCGCAGGTCTGAGATTAGCTGCAGCTTTTAATCTCTTTCAAGATTTATTTATGGGTCTCTGAAATAAGGCTAATAAATGAGCTTGTTTAGCTGAGCCAGAGGTGGTTTGTGGGTGTGGCTCCCACATATCTAACTTTTGGCCATTTACTTTTTTTTTCCCCCCGTTTACTTCTTGATAAACTTGGGGCCAAGTTGTTGGGGTCTGGCCAAAGGCAGAGCGGCAATTTAGGGTCACAGGAAGCCGGAAGGCACCATCAGGCTGCTGACGCACTCACCCCACAGGTGCAGGTTGACCTGCTGGTGGCACCATACCCTACCGGTGCCTTTTATCATCATCCTCATCATAGTTTGTCCCCCAGCCACACTGAGACTGGTGTTTGCCAAGTCTTGGCATGTGGTGACTGAGTTGTGGGTCACTGGACTTGTGTCTGCTCCCTGGCAGCCTGTCACCCGAATCTTTGAGCATTGTCTGTCCCAGCAGGGCTGCTCATTGATGTCTCTGCCTTTGAGTGTCTCCCAGAGACCCTTGCGGTACTCTCCCTCACTGAGCAATGAAGGCAGCTCGGCCATGAGATGACGTGAGGTGGGAATGTTCTCAGCCACTCCAGCATCCCAGAACGCCTCCCGGGCCCTCGTTCTCCCCCCATGCCCTCACTCACCTCCCATCCCCCCTAGTGCCTGAGCGCCTCTTCTGGCCCCTCCCAGCACTCACGGAAACGCCTCTTGGGCTCCTGCTGCTCTCCCATGGCTGGCGCTGATGAGGTCACACGTCGGCTCTGGAGCACAGAAAGGGCCCTTGGGCCGGGTCTGCCCTCTGCTCGCTGCCCTGGTCGGTGCCAAGCAGAGGAGACATTTTCTGTTAATGGTGACGTGAATGTAATTAGCAGTTCCTGTGGCATTCATGAACGAGGAGGAGCCTGTTCTGCTAAAGGGAGTAATTGCCGAGGGAAATGGCACGCGAGCTAAACGCCCCTGCAGCCTGTGCCGCGCCTGCAGCCGCTCACCACCTCCCGTGGATCACAGTGCTGAGGACAGATCCGTGGGAGCCCGAGAACCGGGCTTTTGGGCTGCTCAGCCTCTCCATTTGGTACTTGACAGTGTTGAGTCCTGGGCAGTGTTTTGCGAGAAGTCACACGAGTTAAGAAGCAGCAGCTGGGGTCAGGGTTCAAAGGCCAGAAGCCCAGGCTTGGCATGCAGGAGCCCCGGGTTTGATCCTTGACACCACCTGCTCCTTGAGCACTTCTGGGGGGAGTGGCCCGAAAGCCCAGAACCAAATAAATAGAAAGCCAGCGGCAGCTGGTGGGCAAGAGCAGTGCAAAGGAAATGTTCCCAAATACTTGTTTTGTTTGGGGATTCACACCCGGCGGTGTGACTTCTGGCTCTGTGCCCAGGGTTCATTCCTGGCCAAGCTCGGGGGGCCCAGTGGGAAGCCGGAGATGACCTGCCCCGTTGTCCTGTCTCTCCTGGCCGGTGCCCAAATATGATTCCATTACTTTATGGCTTTGTCCAGGTGTGTCAGACCACAGTGTAGCCATAAGGCTTGGAAGCCAGTCGGTCACTTTCCTGGGTGTGTTATTAGCAATGGAGCCAGTGGAGTATATGGGTGCAGGGAAAGGAAGGGAGACGCCTTAGTGTGTCAGCCGGCCAGTGGTTTTGAGTGGATTGAGTGGTTGCACCATGGAGTGGTCTCTGAGCAGCGTCAAGGGTGGTCCCACGTCCCTCCCCCCCACCTATCTCCAAACAATAACAGCAAAAAATTCCACATCAGTTTTCTGTTCTTGTCCTCAGCTTCACAGTAATGTTAGACTCATTGGGGTAAAACCTCTATAACCCCAGAAGGGGACTCACGGAAGCTGGTCTCCCATGTTGGACTCTGGGGTCCCCAGTGGGACTCTGCCCAGGCATGCCCACTGCCCACACATGCCCCACAAGCGGGGGTGGGGGGAGTCTCGGGCAGCCCCCCACTGAAAGTGGTTCTCCTGAGCCTGTTGCTCGCTCTCTGGCAGTGAGAGGGACCAGTCCACTGCAGGGCATGCCACGGTGCCCACCCACCCCGAATGGACAGACAGATGGATGCTCGCTTCCCACAAAATGGCACTGGCCCGCGCCCAGCCACATTAGCCCTGGGAGTGACGTTCCCTTGGGCTGTGGGTGTGGCCCCCAGCCTTATTCTGATCTCAGGGCTGAGTGGCTGGGAAACGCTGCAGGGTTCCGCGGTGCCCCTTTTCTGACGCCCTGCCCTTCTTCTGACACCCCGCCTGCTCCTCCTCTCTCCGCAGCTGCGGGGCCCCGTTCCAGGTGTCCGAGGCGAAGCTCCTGGCCTTCTCGTCAGGACCGCTCACCGTGTTCCTGCCCGCCGAGGTGAAGGCCGTGGGCACTGAGCAGGACACCGTCCTCCCGCTGCAGGAGCTGGTCATGCGGACACTTCACCGTGCCTGCTCCCGCGCCCCCAAAGGTGTGTGCACCGCCCCCCCACCTCGGGGAAGCCCCTCAAGAAAGGGGAGCATCCCGGCAATGGCTGTCCTTACCTCAGATCAGCTGTGTCCACCAGAGACCGGGCTGGCACGAAGCCTACGTTTCCGTCTCCCACTGGACAAAGGCAGCATCAGGAAGCGCAGGCGGGGACAGGGAGACAGCCCCAGGGGCCCCGGGTTCCATCCCTGGGTGGCCCAGTTCTGGGGAACCCACTCCACTCCCCCCAAAAAACTGAACAGCTTCCAGCTTCAGTAGAATAGGGGCCATGTCCGTAATTGCACTGGTGTTGTTCTCTGGGGAGACTGACTAGCAGTGCTCCCGAGGGCAGATGTAAAGGTTGCGAGAAGCCGTGTGGCCCTGTCTGTCCAGTGTGGTATATTCACTGACATGGGAGTGCAGTCAACCCTATATTTTGTGTTTTGGGGGGCCACATCTGGCAGTGTTCGGGGCTTGCTCCTGGCTCTGTGCTCAGGGATCACTCCTGGCAGGGCTCAGGGAACTCCCAGGGGGTACCAGGGATTGAATCCGGGCCAGCGCCTTCCCTGCTAGAGTAATACTCTGACCTGTTTTTCCAAATACAACACTGGGGTTAGGGTGATAGTACGGTGGAGTGGGCGCTGGCCTTGCACACAGCTGATCTGGGTTCAATCCCCGGCACCCTATATGGTTCCCAGCATGTGCTGGGAGTGATCCCTGAGCACAGAGCCAGGAGCAAGCCCTGAGCACTCTTAGCTGTGGCCCCCAAACAAGCCAGATGCAGCCTTTTCCGGGAGCCCCTGCCCGGCTCTTCTGACTTGGGCTTTCCTGTGCCTTCCAGATCTGGACGGTCTGTCCCCGGTCTCCTTACCCAGAAGCCTCCTGGAGCTGCTGCGCTGCCCACTGGGCCACTGCCACCGCTGCGGGGAACCCATGTTCACCATCGTCTACCCCAAGCTCTTTCCCTTAAGAGAGACGCCCATGGCGGGCCTGCACCAGGGGTAATTGCCCTCCCCTACCCATGGGCACGGGGTGGGGGTGGGGGTGGGGGGATGTGGTCTGGGCACCGATGTAAGGATCGTTTGTCAGCAGCCTGCAGGGGGCAGCGCGTGTTTCTGTGGGAGTTTCTTTTTTGTTTGCTTGGGGGCCCTGGCTCCGGGCTGGAGCAATAGCACAGCGGTAGGGTGTTTGCCTTGCGCACAGCCAGCCCGGCCGAGCTGGGTTCGATTCCTCCGCCCCCCTCGGAGAGCCCGGTAAGCTACTGAGAATATCTCGCCCGCATGGCAAAGCCTGGCAAGCTACCCGTGATGTGTTCGATATGCCAAACACAGTAATAAGTCTCAAAATGTAGATGTTACTGGGTCCGCTTGAGCAAATTGATGAACAATGGGAGGACTGTGTCTGTCTGTCTTGCTTGGGAGCATCACACCCGGCAATGCTCAGGGGTTCCTCCTGGCTCTGCACTCAGGCGTTACTCCTGGCAATGCTTGGGGACCCTGTGGGATGCCGGAGATCGAGCCTGAATAGGTCATCATATGCAAGGCAAGTGCCCTCCTTACTGTATTATCACCCCGGCCCCACGAAGGAGCCTTCCAGCCTTTTGTGAGCAGCATGTCTCAGTGGAGGAAAAAAGTTTCATCGTCATCCGCGTAGAGTCTGGCAGTTTGGGTTTTCGGGCTACACCCGGCAGTGCTCAGGGTTGTCTCTGGGCTGTTCACTCAGGAATCACCCCGGCGATGCTCAGGTTCGATGGTGGGGCTCGAACACAGAGCAGCCACTTGCAAGGCCAGTGCCCTTCCCGCTGTGCTGTTGCCCAGGCTTCCAAGTCTCTTGGTTTCTGGAGAGTTTCCCTGACACTCCCTGCTCATGTGCAAAGTATCTGTTATGTGATGGGCCTGCCCAGACCTTCAATTTAATGGGTGTTACTTTCTCAAAGTGTGTGAGTGTGTGGGCATGCATGTGTGTGCGCACGGGCGTGCGGAGGAGTGGTTTTGGATTTCTGACCCGTCCAGGTGGCAGTCTCTGGCCACACTCTTCTCTGGCACCTTGCCTCGAGTTCCTAAGAAGGGTCACCAAGTAGAGACTCCCAGATTGGTAGCTGCAAAAAGACAAACAGCAGCGGTTTCAAAGGACACCGGGGCGGGAGGGATGCTGCAGCGGGGAAGGCGCAGGCCTGGCACACAGACAACCCAGCACTGCGGAGGGTCCCTGAGCCCCTCCAGGGGTGAGCCCTGAGCACCGCCAGGTGTGGCCCCGAAACAAAAAGTGAATGACAGTTTGTTGTTTTTTTTTTTTCCCAAAAATCCACTTGTCCCATCTTGGCTTATTGATTCTCCAAGCTCAGAGTTTCCAGAAAGCACTGTCACGCTTCACTCCTGCCCCAAATGTGGTGTTGGGAATGAAGGAATCGTATGGAAACTGAAGCTCAGCCCTGCTTGGTGCCCAGACGCGTTTCCTCTGTCATTCTGTTATTGGCTGCTGCTGTTTTTGTGATGCATGATTGTCTCCGTTGAATCTCATTTAGAGAGATGAGAGGGGAGAGAGAAGGAGAAGGACAGGTTGGAGAGAGAACCCGGCTTCTCCAGAGTGGGACTAGGTAAAGCGACATTACAACCAGCCAGCGAGACCTGTGTTCAAGGGCGAGCACTGGCTGGACGAGTCTCCTCTGACATTCAGTGACTCACCAGGTCATGATAAGATGCAGGACCACCCTCAGAGGGCCAGGCTGCTGCGTCTCCCCAACCCGGAGTGGCAGGGCCAGACCGGAGGATTTTTTCTTTTTTTAATTTTTAAATCTGTTGTGGCGTATTATTCATTAACAAGCAATACAAAATAAATTATTTAGGTCCTGCTTTGGGGGCAGGCTTTGGGCACATCTGGCGGTGCTCAGGGCTTGCTGCTGGCTCTGTGCTCAGTGATCATTCCTGGTGCTACTCGGAGGACCATGTGGGATGCAGAGGATCAAACCCAGGTTGGACACATACAAGGCAGACACCCTCCCTGTCCTGTCGCTCTGACTAGCAGGGCTGAGGACAAACAAATTCAGCCCCGTGATGTAGGGGGTGCTCTTGCCTCTCCCCCTATCCCCCCCCAACCCCGTTCTCTCATCTGCCTCTCTGTGTCTCCCCTCTCTCAATGCTGTCCATTTCCAGCTTGTCCGTGGACCCCTCAAAACTTACTAGGTTAAAAGAGTGAGGCCCATTCATGGGGCCTGCAAGCAGCGCCCGAGAATTACACAGACGCCAGGCCCTGGACTCAGATCTCCCCGGGACACAGGGGCAGCTGGCTAGACTTCTGAGTTCCATGCTTTCAGGTGTAAAATGAAGGAGATAATCGTCGCAGCTTTTGTGCAGGGCCTGGGGAGGCTCCCACGGCTCACTCCCCAGAGGCCAGTCTGAGGCTGGCCAAGAGGGAATCTTGTTGAAGGGCCGCTGCTCTTGACTTGGGAAGCTTGGAGACTTTGCTGTCACTGCACTGTGTATGTACTTAGCACACACGTGTGCTTCCTGTGAGCTTGCTTGTGGAACACCCAAACAAAGAGACATGAAGATCATAATGGCGTTACTGTAGAAAACAGGAAAGAAAAGGGAGGAAAGTGAAAACTAAATCATCTGCTCTATTCGCTTGTTGGGTTACACCTGGCAATGCTCTGGGGTTACTCTTGGCTCTGCACTTAGAAATCAATCCTGGCCATGATCGGGGGAATGCTATAGTATGCAGGGATGAAACCCAGGTCAGTCATGTGCAAGGCAAACGCCCTCCCTGTGGACGACTGCACTGGCCCAGGGGCTGGTAGGCCTTTTAAAATGTTCATAAAGTTGTTCACAATAATTTATTACATTGAATATTCCAACACCAATCTTATCTCCATTACACCTACCACCGCCATATTTCCACCCCGACTCCCAAAGCAGGACCTAAATAATTTATTTTGTATTACTTATTATGAATAGTCTGCTAAAGATGATCCCAAAGAGTTAAATTGGGTAAAGATTGTTGTATTTCACCCTGGCGCCATTAAGCCCTTGTCTTGGTACATCAGTGGTGTAGAGCATGAGATGCAAATGTGGCTGAGTACTCCAGGAATTCTGAAATTTTAAATAAGATGATACAGCTGAGGTTAATTAATTTTTTTTAACTAGATGATGATTTTGGGGTCTGGAGGCATCTCTGTGGTGTGTTGCTTCCTTCCAAGAGATTTATTTGTGAGTCTCTGTATCTTGGTTGTTGATGAGCTTATATGGCACCAAAAACAGTTCCTCGGCATGACTGCCAAGCTCCTAGAAACACAGGCAGGTAGGGGAGTTGACCATTCCTGACTCCGGGCAAGCCTGGAGATTTCAGTCACAAGTCCCGCATACCTAGGCAGATTTACTCCTGGATGAGGCTCGTCCTAGCTATGGAAGTCAGCCGTGAGCATGGTGGCAATTGAGTTTTGGAAATTTTCGGTTGCTGGGGCAGATGAAGGGACTCATCCACCCCCTTTCGGGTTGCCCCTGATGAGACAGCCTGGTGCAGGGTCTGGAGGCATATCTGTTGTGTGCTGCTCATGTCGCTATTGTGGTGGGTTTTTTTTTTCCTTTTTTTTTGGGTTACACCTGGCGATGCACAGGGGTTACTCCTGGCTCTGCACTCAGGAATTACCCCTGGCGGTGCTCAGGGGACCATATGGAATGCTGGGAATCAAACCCGGGTTGGCCGCGTCCAAGGCAAACGCCCTACCTGCTGTGCTATTGCTCCAGCCCCCTTTTGTGGTAGGTTTTTAAAGACCTCTTTGAAAAGCAAAATTTTGCATCTTGCTTGTATTCACTTATGAAGATTAAACAGGTTCTTCAAATGCAGCCCTTTGGGGTTAGCTTACTAACCCCGTTTAACCATTTGAGGCACCTCGTCATTTTCCCATTAATGGCTATTTATTCATCTTCTGTGACTTAAGAGATTGAGAACGAGGATTAGGACACTGATTTAGTCTGATCATATTAATCTAATAAAAGGAGTAGATCAGTCCCAGAGGTTGGGGAGTGCGCTTCTACTGAGCAAAGCCTGAGGGGTCTCTTTAAGTTTTTTTGTTTTTTGCTTTTTGGGTCACACCTGGCAATGCTCAGGGCTTACTCCTGGCTCTGCACTCGGGAATCATTCCTGGTGGTGCTCAGAGGACCATATGGGATGCAGGGGATCAAACTTGGGTCATCCGTGTACATGCAAACGTCCTCCCCACTGTACTGTTGCTCCCAGCCCCACCTCTTATTTATAGCCAAGGAGATGCGGAATATAAACATGGCGTCTGCAGTCAGTCGAAGCTGAGGTCTGCAAGTGAGTTTGTGGCACTAGTTGGCTCGCCATGGAGGTGGTGTCACAAGCATTCACTTTGGTTGACGAGAGGACCTATTTTGTCCCTGAAAAGCCAATACTCACACTTAGTTGCTTATTGCTAAAAATGAAAATTCACCTGCCCCCCATCCTCTCTTTTTTAGTGTCAACAAGCCCCCAAAGATTTTGATGACATCATTATTCGGGTTTCTAATATTTTTGACTCTGTTTGCCGCTGATGTGATACAATAATGTTTCATCCCTGCCACATCTCAATGAGTGTGGACATCTGGCATTATTTTAGGAAGGAGCAGAATTCATAGGCTTCTCAAATATTAAGTTCTCTACAATATTAAGCTGTCCGTTCCAGCCTAATAGAGTGAAAGAGAAAGAAATTACAGTATTTTGCATAAACATAAGCACCTGGGCCTTCGGTTCCCTCCAGCAGAGGATTCGCTAATTGGTTCTTGACATCGACCCATGGGTCTGGGCAGGTTTCAGTTTTCATCACCGGAGAGTTGGCACAGCAGGGAAAGCGCTGGCCTCACACACGTTCCTGCCTGGGCTCGATCCCCACAACCCATCAGGTCCCCCAAGCACCACCAGGAGTGATCCCTGAGCACTGCCTGGGTGTGGCCCCCTAAAGAGAAAAGAAAAATTGGAAATGGGCCCACCTTTCCCGCACCCCATGTTTGGTTGTTGGCAGACTGGCAGCTCTCACTCAGGCACGTGCGCCATGGAGGCAACAGGCCGCCCACCTCTCTGGGCTGTGCTCAGGGGTCACTCTTGGCAGAGCTCAGAGTCCACCCTCAGCCATGTGCCAGGCCAGCGCCCTCTCCGCTGTGCCATGGCTCCGTCCCTCAGCTGGTCAGCAGGCTGCATTCACTTGTTCCTGCCGTCTCTTCTGTAACCACACAGATGCTTGGGCCAGACCCCCTGACCCTTCTTTTCCCAATCACGCTGAGGGTGGATCTTTGTTGGGTTTGGGGATTTGAGGTTCTGGCGGTGCTCAGGTACTGCTTCTGGTTCCGTGCTCGGGGGGCCACACAGTGCTGGGGACTGAACCCAAGTCGCCCCACAGGGCCATCGCTGCCCACGTCAGTCACCTCGAGACATTAGCCTGAATGCGACAGCAGGTTGGATGCTGTGTTTTTCTGTCATTCTCCTGGACATATTAATATGCTCACATACTCAGGATTTTTCTGTGACCAACTGCACTAATTGTTTTCCCCCTTCTGCTTTGAATTTCCTTGTGAGTCAGGGACCCACTTTTTAATTTTTTTGCTGTTCATCAGGCAGCATCTCTGCAAAGAAAATCCCACGTTTCTTCTGGTTTCCATGGGCCCCATATGTGCAAACAGCGGTGTGGTGTGTTCAGTCTCGTGGCATTTCTGTGTTTCCAAACGATGCTGAGCTGTGCTTTCTGCTGCTTCGCCGGTGATGGTGGGGACCACGGCAGCCCCTTGTGGAGTTGGAGCTCAGCTCATAGTTTGTGCCCTGAATCCTGTGTGGCTCTGGAGCTTCAGCGGCAAAATCTCAGTGCACTGAGCCAACACACCTTTGAGGGTTATGTTTTTTTTTTTCTTTTCTTTCTTTCTTTTTCTTTTTCTTTTTTTTTTTTTGTCTTGTTTTCAGGCCACACCCAGACTCCTGACTCTGGGCTCAGGGATCACCCCTTGCAGGCTCAGGGGATCCTGTGGGGTGCCAGGGATTGAACCCAGGCTGACTGCGTGCAAGGAAAACAACCTCCCCACTGTGCTATCACTCCAACCCCCTGTTTCTTTTTGAGCCATTCCTGGTTATGTTTGGGGGTGTTAGGGACCGAACCCAGGGGTCCTGCATGCAAAGCATCTTTGTGGCCACTTAGATGAGAAACAGCCCACAGCTGTAGTTAGCCACTGCTGACTCTCTGAAAGGAAAGAGATGCACAGACATGGGGATTCATGTGGCCCAGATACGGTTTCCTCTAGGCTGCAGTGTGGAGTGACTCCTTGCTAGACATGCCTTTGACTCTTTGACTTTACATGATTGCCTTTTTTTGAAGGGGGTGAGGAGAGGGTCAGCGATAGTCCAGCGGGGAGCATGCTTGCCTAGCACGCGGCCGACCAGGCTTGATCCCCAGCCTCCACAGGGCCCCTGAGCACCGCCTGGGAGTGCCCCCCTGGAACCCACTGGCATCATTGTTCTGGTTTCTACTGTATTTGGTTCCCGTTTGCTACCACTGTGATAATGTTTTGTATCTGCCATATCTCAGTGAGTGTGGACATCGGGAATAATCGGCGTGGCCCCGGAACCAAAAATAAATAGTGAAATCTCATTTTCACTTGGACTTGAGGCCATTTTGTCTCTGCATCTCATTTCCACAGAGTCCACGAGGACAGACCGTCCAGGTGTAGGAGATCATCCAAACGGCGTCCTCACCCATGTTGGTTTTTTATTACGATTGATTTTTTTTTTCCCCTCATCTGATCAGGAAGGGCTCACCCATGGCACCTCTTGGCCATCCTGGCTGGCAGAGGTGGTGCTGCTCTGGGGCCTGCAGTGCTGGTCACTAGCCCGGCCAATCTGGAGTGTTTCCCCCCCCCCCCCCCGCCCCCGGTGACAGCAGCAGTCTTGAGGGGAGGGTATGGCAGCAGGAACCTGCCGGGTCTGGCACATGTCAAACCGCTGCATGATCTCCCAGCCCCACTGTCCCTCATTTTGTTTATTCATTTATGTATTTGGGGGGTTGGAGGCCACACCTGGTGATACTCAGGGATCACGCCTGACGGTGCTTGGGAGACCCTATGAAATGCTGGGAAAGAACTGGGGCCCATCATGTACACAGCGAGCGCCCCACTGTGCTGCTGCTCGGCAAGACACCCTGGGACAGGAATCCGGACCTCACCACACCCCCATCCCCCTCTCCCCTGCAGGAGGACAGCCGTGAGCTTCGTGGCGTGCTGCTGTTCTGCCGGCTGCCTGCAGACTTTTGACCTGCTCAGCTGACCACGTCCCACGGTGACCGCACAGTGCCGACTGTGCTATGGCGCCCGCAGTCCATCATCTTGTGGGTGCCACTGAGGCAGGCTAATGGGTACTGACCTGCCCAGCAGGCCGACACACCGCTGCATCAGGAAAGGTCACCAAGGCGGGTCTTCGCCGCTTCACCCCACCCCCAACGTGTTGGAATACATCTGTCCCCAAATCAAGTCTCTTGTCTTGTCTCTTGTCATCTGTGTCTCCCTTCCATGGGCGTGCTCCCTGGGTAGAGAGGGGTGAGAGGGGGTGGAGAGGCATCTCCCTTAGTAAGTTTGTCCCCCAGTGAACTGCGACTCTGCACTGCCCAATTCTCCAGGCAGAGACCTTGGGCTGCTCCCTCCCACCCTCACTCTCCCCCCCACCCCCCAGATTCTTCTCTGAGTTGCTTTCTTTGTTTGGGAATCACACCCATCAGTGCTCAGGGCTTCCTCTTCGCTCTGCACTCAGGATCACGTCTGGCGGGCTCTGAGGACTCCATGGGGTGCCAGGGGTCGAACCCGGATCAGCTGTGGGCAAAGCCAGCGCTTGAACCCCAGTCCTAGCTCTCAGCCCCCTGAGAACACTCTTCTGCCCCTCTCCCATCCCAGCCCTTCAGACGGAGCCCTGAAGCTGAGCTAGTCATCAGGGTTGCCCTTGAGTCAGGTCACGCTCTGGGGTTTTAATGAGTAAGAGTGTAAAAGGACGTTGTAACCTGACTCTGCGCCCAGTGACTGATGCACCGTAGCCTCGGCAGGCAGGCCGGCCATGGCCATGGGCTGTCTCAGTCTTGAACTTTGACTGTTCCAACGGGTCAAGCAGAGGTGCCCGGTGCTGCTGAGCACCCAAACTGCATCCAGAACCCTTTTTTTGTTTTTTCCAGAAAAGCATTTAGTACATGTTATTTATTATTATTATCATTAGTGAAACACCATGAGGTACAGTTGTAGACTTACACATTTTTGTGCTTGGGTTTCAGTTATACAATGATCGAGTACCCATCCCTCCACCAGTGCCCATTCTCCACCACCACTAATCCCAGTATCCCTCCCACCACCCCCATCCCCCCATGCAACCCTGCCTCTGTGGTAGGGCACTCCCTTTTGTTCTCTCTCTCCTTTTGGGTGCTGTGGTTTGCAAAAGAGGCATTGGGTGGCAATCATGTTCAGTCTATAGTCTACTTTCAGCATGCATTAGTACATGTTATTTTTCTGAACAATGATTATGCTGGGTAGAGAAATACTCTTACCCTCCCCCCCCAGCACCCCAAAGTAAGTTACTTCAGGCAAGTTGATAGCAAAAGAATGTGATGTGTTGAAAAGGGTAAAAATCAGAAATCCAAGATTTTAAGTTCTCCTATGAAAGGGTTGATTTTAAAAAGGAGTACCCAGTGCCAGAGTGCTCAGACAGAGGGGAGGGTGTTTGCCTTGCAGGTGGCTGACCCACTTCAATCCCCTGCATCCTATAGGGTCCCCCCAAGTACTGCCAGGGGCGATTCCTGAGTGTAGAACCAGGAGCAAGCCGTGAGCATCACTGGGTGTGGCCCCAAAATCCAATAAAATAATGAAAAGGATTGCCCTGGGCTGGAGCGGTAGGACAACTTACGTTGCATACGACCAACGCAGGCAAGATCTCCGAGCTCCCATCAAGAGCACAAACCAGACACAAAAGATCAGGGTATAATGCAGTGTCCAGATAGGCAAATGCCCACCACATAAAGTCCTGGTTGCCAGGGCCTGGGGAGAGGAAACGGGGATAGTGACCGCAAAGGCATGTGGTGTTTGGCAAGTGCTGACCGTGGTCTGCAGTTAGAGGTCCTCTTAAAAGTATTTTTCAGTAACTATCCTAAAACCCACTTGAACTGCACACTTCAAAAGGGTGGATTTAATAGTGCAATGATGTTATCTCGAAAGGAATCAGCCGGTGAGCCAGCATGCTTTCCAGATCTGAGGATAAGCGCAGTTCTAGGTGCACGCACAAGCCTTCCGAGCCAGGGCGCTGCGGCGATGGAATCTCGGCTGCAGACTCTGTCATCACCCACGGATACCAGCTCCAGGCCAAGACAGCAAGGAATTTCAAAAAGTCCTGGTGGGCAAGTTTCCCAACTGACTTAATGCACTGAACAAAGGAGTCGTCATTTGAGAGAGATTGGGGCCAATGTCTCTGGAACGAAAGCATGTCAAAAAATCAAATACTCATACATATGCCAGGCTGGAGAGAGTACAACGGGGAGGTGATCTGGCTCTGATACCCAACATCCCAATGGTCCCCTGAGCGTCGCCGAGAGTGAGGCCTTGGGTACCAATTTTGGCCCAAAACTAAAAAAAAGAAAAGGCAAGATCATGAAAGAAATGAGTTCAAAAAACGAATCTCGTTGCTGATGCTGGGAAGTCTGGGGCTGATGTCTTTGCTTCCCGCCCCCCTAGTTTGCTATGTCTTGGTGCCGTTCTCAACCTAGCACAAAAATATGCAGGCAGAAACTTTACCAAAGGGTTAGTCTCTGCAGCATAATTATTAAATATTTGTGTTTATATTATCAGGTGGCCCAAAAATACCTTTATCCCTGGCCTGTTAGTGAGTCTCTGAAACTAATCAAAAATTACTCTTAAATTTCTCACCTTTCCATGACAGGACCACATCCCCAAAAGAACTACTGGGCATGTCACTGGGATCGAGTGATAGTCCAGCAGGGAGGATGTTTGCCTTGCATGTGGCTGACCTGGGCTCGATCCCTGGCATCCTATAGGGTCCCTTGAGCACTGCCAGGAGTGATTCCTAAGTGCAGAGCCAGGAGGAACCCCTGAGCACCACCGGGTATGACCCAAAAAGAAAAAGGGGAAAACGGTCGGATGTTTATTTAGTTGATGGGGGTGTTTAACTGCGTCACAAAAAAGTAGCTATATCATACTGTCCCTAAAGACCTGCTCTTTATTTCTGGCCATTTTGAATTGGCAGCATATTTAAGAGAAAAAAAAATCATCAAATTCGTTTGCATTTGTATGACCTGTTTGACATAATCCAGAGAAATAGTGTTTGGAATGATGAATCGCTCATGTCATTCTGCAGCTCAGGGAAGCTGCCCCTTAAGGACCCACGTAATTACTCCCTGCAGTAATTCTTTCTTCAAACCATCACTGTACGGTTCATTGTTTACTTTTGTTTGTTTGGGGGTCACACCTGGAGGGCCCAGGGGACCCTATGGGATGCCAAGGGATCGAGTACAGGCCGATCACATGCAGGACAAGCTCCCTCCCAGCTTACCCATTGCTCCTGTCCTGGTTTATATTTTGCAACTAACTAGGTGTTTGGTTTTTTGTTTTTTAATTACAGAGCGATACTGCAGACCAGAGAAGGGAGGAAGAAAAAACTTCATGTTCCCTGCATGGTTGAGGATTTGTTTCTTTTCCTTTTCTCTTTCTGCCCATCCTGTGGATTCACGCAGATGCGCTATTTTATAACTTGCTTTCTTCACCGGCTCTGTGGTATAACGTCTTGCATTTTACAGTAATGAGGATTTTTTTTAACTGTATTTGACAGTTTCTTCCCTTTCCTCCTCTCTCTAGGACCATTTTATTGGGAAATGAGGGGGTGTAGAGGTGCTTAATTTTTTTATAAGCCAGTACTAGATTGTTTTGTCAACGCTTGTGATCAGTTTAGCTCTTCCCAGCTAAAGCCAGTCTTAGAAATCTTTATTCTTTTGGAGTGGAGTGATAGTACAGCAGGAAAGGCAATTGCCTGGCATGCAGCTGACCTGGATTGGATCCCTGGCTTCCCCTAGGGTGCCCCAAGCCCACCAGGAATAATCCCTGAACACAGAGCCAGGAGTAAGCCCTGAGCATTTGTCAGCATTGTCCCCAAACAAAAACCAAACAAACTAACGATCTGGATCCTTTATTTATTGTTGATTTTTGGGCCATTCCTGGCAGGGCTCAGGACTTAACTCCTGGCCTCAGGTGTTCAGGAGTCACTCCTGGCGGCCGGGAGGGATGGGCAGGGAACGGTATTTTCAAAATGTATTTGACGGTGTTGAGGATCAGATCCAGGTCTCAGGCAGGTGAGGCCACACCCCCTGCCCTTTACCCTTTCACTTAATGTGCAGTGAGCACTGACAGTAGCGAGTCAGGGCCTCGCCATGGGGAGGAGACAGACAGACAGAGAGAGACAGAGAGACAGAGAGGGAGAGCCCGGGAAGGGGAAGGAGGAGAGAGGGAGAGAGAGCACGGGAAAGGGAGAGAGCTAGACAGAGGGAGGGAGGTGGGCTGCGGCTTCTCCCGGGAAGCCATCCCCGACAGCGGACGTGAAGGAGCAGGCGCACTTCTCAGAGGGTGAGCAAGACCGGACTCGTGAGCCGCCTCTGCCCCAGGCGCCATCCTCAGCCCCTCCTGGGGACCGCCCTGCCCACCCCTTATCATCGCGTGGATCTCGGGACGCACTTGGAGGAGACGGAAAATTCCTGAGACAGAACCTGGGCTGCTCCGCCCTGCCCGCAGGCCCCAAATTCCCCCTCCTCGGCCCCTGCAGAGACTCAGCAAATGGGGCTCCTGGCTTCTCCCAACGGGTGCTCTTTTTCGAGTCAAATTTGGTCATCTCAGGGAGCCGGAGCAGTAGCACAGCAGGGAGGGTGTTTGCCTTGCACGTGGCCGACCCAAGTTCCATCTCCAACACCCTATATGGTCCTTCGAGCACCAGCGGAAGTAGTTCCTGGGTATAGAGCCAGGAGTAACCTCTGAGCATTGCCAGGTGTGACCCCAAAACCCCAAAAATTAAAAACAAAACTAATAAAACAAAGATGGCCATTTTGTATAGAAACACTTGAGTGAGGGCCAGAAAGATGGTAAAGTGGGTAGGGCATTATGCCCCACACACACATAGGCTGAGGTTGATCCCTGGCACCTCCTGAGCCGCTCAGCAGTGATCTCTGAGCCCAGAGCCAGGTGTAAGCCTTGACCACTGCCAGGTGTTCCCCCCCAGAAAACAGAATATATACATTAGATTGAGAAATATTTTAGTGTACATATAGATTGGTAAATATTTTAGTGAGCATTAGCCAAGTGGTAGGACTCGCTGCTAGCAAACTGCATTTTTCACAAGTATTAAATGTACCTCTTTTCTCACACAGAGAACCTTCTAGAAAAATAGGAGTCAACCAGAATAATAATAATAAATGAGATGGAAC